TATAGGATATCTCACTATACCACGTAAAAGATCAAAAATCAGTTGGAATCTACGGAAAACAAATAAACACACTGAAATGTTTATGCCAAGCTTACCTAATTTTCTCTCCAAGTTTCCTCCTGCTAATCTGCTTGATAAGATCTTCCGCAATCTTCTTCCGCTCCATTTCGTCGCTCTCATGAACAGCCATAAACAGTCGAAATGAAAGCATTCTGGAAAACAATTAGTGCAGATAGTCAGCGGATAATCGCCGTGGCCTAGTCAACAACATGAGGTGTCCCATTTTGCAAAACCCACCGTTCAAAGTCAATATCATCCTTCAGATGAGGTACAACACGCTTCATAACATCTACCACAGCCTGTGACTTCATGCCGCTCTCCAGCAAAGAAGAAATGAAACGCAGTTCCAAAGGAACAGCAGCTTCTTCTTTACCAGTCCTTCTAAAAAACATTGACATTTTTCGCAATGTGAGATTCAAAGTCACTTACCTCAGCCATTGTGCCATCTTATAACCTATATGCGCTGCTTGCCGGCTTCGACCCCATTGTACCAACGTAGACGTCGCAGCGTCATGAGCCTTCGACAGCTGATGAGCGAAACTGGTTCGTGATTGCAGTATATCTCGCAAAAACTCCTGACTTCCGCTAGGATCATCTACAGAAAGCCAATCAAGCAATGCACTTTTTGCTTCGGCTTTCTCAGGTTCTTCCAATTTTGCCAAATCAAGCATCTAAAAAGATCCAGAGTAAGAAGTCGGGTAAGAGAGAAAAAGAAGTATACAACATACAGAGAAAAACCGTTGCGTCTGCAGAGCACACATAGCAGTTGCAGCAGCATCTACTGACGAGGGATCAGCCAGAAGCCCTGCAATGTGCAGGGCTTCCCCCGACACGACAAGGCTCCAACATGCTAATCGAGCAGGGTCGACGTTCATCTGAATAGCCGACTAGAGTCAGACGCAAAACACCAACGATGAGTGAGAGCAAGCCACATAGCAATAGAAAGTTAGAAGTCTGGACGTTTAGAGTCAAAAATAACAGTGAAGTGTAGGGAACAGACGCCGAGAATAGATCGAGAGATTTTTAGAAGTAGCCTACATAAGTAGCACAATTGCAAGTGACATTTGTTTCGCTTATCAAAAAAAAAA